ACAGAGTGCCTGGAAGTCCCTCAAGAGACGACCAGACTCGCCCCAATGTCAAGCTAACTATACTCTCGCTGTCCACCGGTCATCTGATTGCCTACGTGATGCCCAGAATCACCATCTAGCAATAGTCCGTGCACGACTCCAGACCGGCAGCCTTCGAGATAAACAGTGGTGGTCAACCATCAAGCAGTCCATCGGAACCTCCCGAAATAGCTCCATCCCGATTCTTGTCGACCCTGCTGGCAAAGAGCATGCCACGAACATCGAGAAAGCAAACTGCCTCGGTCACTACTTCGCGGAGAAATGTAGCCTTGGTGCCAATGACCTGCCAGACACACCTCTGCCCCCTATTCGCCAACGCACAGGCAATATGCTGAAGACCGTACACTTTCGCCCTGCCACAGTCCAGCGAGCTCTCAAGAACCTGGACGCTTCAAAAGCAACTGGCCCTGACGGTATTCCGGCGCAAGTGCTCAGGAAGTCAGCGCAGTCGCTCGCCAGCCCTCTGGCAAAGCTATTCACCCAGTGCTTCCGGGACGGGGTGCAACCTGCATCCTGGAAGATCGCGAACGTTGTCCCTATTTTCAAGAAAGGCTCCAAGTCTACCCCGAAGAACTACCGTCCGATTTACCTCCCCTCTATACTCTCTAAGGTGATGGAGGCCATCATCAATCGCAGCATCACTAACTTCCTGGAAAGCAATCAGGTCCTCTCCGGACGGCAATTCGGGTTCCGACGCGGCCTGGGCACGACTGATCTTCTCCTCTCACTTCAGCATGAGTGGAGTCGGACGTCCAATGCTGGGGGTGTGACCCGAGTCCTTGCTGTCGACGTGGCCGGCGCATTTGACAAAGTGTCGCACCGCGGTGTAGTTCACAAGGCCAGATGCATTGGGCTGACTGGACCCCTGCTCTCATGGTTGAAAAACTACCTAGAGAGCCGCCAGATCCGGGCCGTAGTTGGTGGACAAACATCAGCCACACACGCCATCCGAGCAGGTGTGCCTCAAGGAAGCATCCTGGGGCCCACTCTCTTCTTGATCTACATTAATGACGCTGAGGACCACCTTCCCCAATCGACCAGCCTTGCCACGTACGCAGACGACACAACGCTCTACAAGTGTATCCGGTATCTTGGCAACCTCGCAGCTGACTGTGATGATCTCCAGACCGCCGTCAATGCCCTTGCTGCCTGGGGTGCGACCTGGCGAGTGACATTCGAGCCCGCCAAGTCATACCTACTCCACGTCAGCCACCACCGTCGGCCCTGGGACTGCCCTCTGGTCACATTCCAAGGTGAAATCGTTCCTGAAACCCAGTGCCTGAAGCTACTTGGGATAACCTTCGACAGTCAACTGACATTCTGCCAGCAGATTCGACAGTCAGCCCTGCGCGCCACACAGCGACTGGGCTTCCTGAAGAAGGCCTCAGCAGTGCTTGACCCTGGCTGCCGTCTCACGGTCTACAACGGCTTTGTTCGCCCAGTCTTAGAGCATGACATGCTAGTCTGGATGGGCGCTTCTCAGACGGTGCTGGCCCAACTCGATGCTGTACAGCGGAGAGCCCTGCATCTGATCGGCGAAGGCGCATATCTGCCAAGCCTCGAACTCCGGCGCAAAGTTGCTGCTCTCTGCTATCTCTACAAAATCCACTACCTGACAGGCCCACAGATGCTAACCCGAATGCTGCCCCCCTCCCAAGCAGTACCAGACCACGACCAACATCCTGCCAACACCAGGCAGCAGGCGCGGGTGGCGGCCGGCCACCGCTACCAGCTGCAGTCTGATATCCCAGCCAATTCTCGCAACAACGTCCGCCGGTCGTTCCCTGAAGGAGTGCTGGACACCTGGAACCAGTTGCCTCGCCAACACCTCCTGGATCAGCCCGACCAGAAGAGGTTGCAGTCCTTCAAGTGCAGCGTCCACCGATTCCTGCGCTCGCGCCACTGGGACTGGGCGACCGACCGGCTGTAGGGACTCGGCGTGGTGGTTTTCTGGACGTTACTGTGAGAGAGTGAGTCTGTGCACAAAATTAATATTATGTATGATTACGCGTCTGCGTGAATGTGCCCGTGTGTATCTGTGTGTACGTGTGTGTGTGTGTGTGTGTGTGTGTGTGTGTGTGTGTGTGTGTGTGTGTGTGTGTGTGTGTGTGTGTGTGTGTGGTGTGTGGTGTGTGTATGTGTGTGGTGTGTGTGTGGTGTGTGTATGTGTGTGCGTGTGTGTGTGTGGTGTGTGTATGTGTGTGTGTGTGTGCGCGTGCATGTGTGCGTGCTAGCATGTGTGTGTGTGTGTGTGTGTGTGTGCGCGCGCGCGTGTGTGTGTGTGTGGGTGTGTGGGCGGGTGCACATGGTTGGTATGTGGTGTTTATGTGAGCGTATGATAATAATCTGTTTCCTCTGAGACAAAAATGCGATAATACTCATAAAAAGGACACACTTCAGGCTCATTACAAAAATCTTGAAAGTTTTTGTCTTCACAAGTATACTTTCAAGCCTTCTCATCAGGTGAAATACAGGCAAGAGAAAAGGAACAGGAACAGTGGATTAAATACAGTAAGAAGGTGGTAAAACAGCGCAAAAAAAGAAAGAAAGAAGATAGCTAAAGTAAACAGCGAAAATTGCAATAATGACACAAAGGTGCAAATGCGAGAAAACTCAATAAGCGCGACATGTAGTGCGACAACAAGAGACAACCACTGGACATACATGTAACTAACAACACGCACCGACAACACGCACCGCTACACCTTATTCCACAACACGCACGATCCACTCGACCACGGAGGGGACGTCCAGCAAAGAATCATCCTGGTACAAGATGGTCCAACGCAGCGGCATCAACACCAAGTAACGTCACCTAACAATTAACTAGACCACCAGAAAAACAACCGGACAAGACATCTACTGGCGTGGCAGTGACAGGAACCGCATCAACCAGAAGAATGACAAGATCGGCAACGGCGGCGATGGCAGCGACTAAAGTACAGACAGAGGCAACGGCTAGGGTCCACTCGACTAGCCATGTGAAATCGGATGTGTCCACCGCACATGCTGATTGTTCTGATGTTAGTTCTGATAAGTATGAGTCGTCCATTGCTAGTCATTTGTTTGAGCATCCTGATTGTCGTGCTGTGTATTCAGATGATTGTTTTTCGATTGTGTCACGTGTACGCAGTGCTAGATTGCTGAATGTTTTGGAAGCTGTATACATCCACACAAGGAAACCCAACCTTTGCAAGCAGAAACAAATCAAATTCAAACAAATCAAATTCACACTTAGGCTGTTAGGTAGGTCGTCAAAACCTCGTTAGTTACATGTATGTCCAGTGGTTGTCTCTTGTTGTCGCACTACATGTCGCGCTTATTGAGTTTTCTCGCATTTGCACCTTTGTGTCATTATTGCAATTTTCGCTGTTTACTTTAGCTATCTTCTTTCTTTCTTTTTTTGCGCTGTTTTACCACCTTCTTACTGTATTTAATCCACTGTTCCTGTTCCTTTTCCCTTGCCTGTATTTCACCTGATGAGAAGGCTTGAAAGTATACTTGTGAAGACAAAAACTTTCAAGATGTTTGTAATGAGCCTGAAGTGTGTCCTTTTTATGAGTATTATGATAATAATCTCTTCAATAATACTAATATCTTTATTTCAAGATTACCCAACGCCGGCGAACGCCCTATCAGGTTGATCTCCTATTAACATGCGCATATGTGTGTGTATGATGTGCCCTAGCTCACTTATAATATTATTATTATTATGTTATACACGTAGATCATGTCCATGATGCCTTTCCTCTGCGCAGGTCCACCGCACTATTGTTTTTAAGATCAACATCATTATTACTTCTGCATATGCATTACATACTATGATCATGCTGGCTTCATCCCTTATCTCCCAAGCTACCACAACCCCCCCCCCCCCCCCCCCACCCCGGTGCGTCTGCCCAGTGTTGACTCCGAGACCCACAGTCGGACGAGCTGCCCAGGCCTCACCACCACTGCCGTTTCCGTGCTGCCTTCTCGATACATACGTATGTACACTGTATATCATGTGCACATTCACATGTCTGAAGGTTTGTGGTTTTTCAATAAAAAAAAATTAAAAAAAAGTCCCTGGCTGTAGCCCACGAGAGTTTCGAGATCTTCCATCACCACTGCGCTGGCAGTACTGCAGTGGTGCATAACCATGATAACGATGTCGCGGGTTTCGCAAGTGACTGATTATTGGTCGCTGCCGTTGAGGGTCAAAGGTCATCTCCCAAAAGTGGCGACATTCGTCAAATGACGGCAATCTGTGATATGCGGCGCGGCGCAGTAGGCCATAGATCCTACGTAGGGTCTACTGATTCTCGCTCTAGCATAGCGCTATATAGCATGCATGCAGTGTCATGATACAAGCACGGACCTAGCGCGCGCGAGCTGCAGCGCCGCGGACCGTCTACAAAGGGTGGTCAAAGTCCAAAAGGTCAAGCTGTGTACTTTCCAAAACAAGCAGACTGCAAAATACAATGTCATGTATAGCACCACGTAGATTTACGTAGAATCAAACAAAAGGGACGTAGTCTACGTAGCTACGTAGATCTACGTAGGTGGATCGTAGAAGGGGTAGACGGCAGAAGTAGAGGAGTCGGGCCGAACAGGGAAAGTGGGGGGGGGGGGGGGGGGGGCCGGGGGAGGGGCGGGGGAGTAGGGTGTTTCCTGTGCACATGTGCATGATTTGGGTTGATCCAGCATTTCAGATCTACAACTACACACACATGTAGCTACAGCCTACATGTACACAGACTCTGGATCGTGGTATGGCAAGCGCAAACGTCGCCACAGCGCCGTTGTTGTCGCAAGGGACGTGTCATGAAGGATCTCGAGAGTTGAGTCGGAATTTTATTACTCCTTGACCTCCGATCCGCCTCGCAACTCTCTCTCGGATCGGCTGAGTCGGCTCACTTCCCCGTTTGTTCCGACTACACTCTACAGTACAAAACTAAGTACGAGCAGATGAATTTTGTTTGTTATTCTCCACATTGCATGTCTCTTTGTCACTAAGTTTTCGATATGAACCAGGAATCCAGTTCCCTCTTCGTATAAAGAAATAATACTGGTACCATGTCCTCGCGGAGAGAGGCCAGCAACTTTAGTACTCTCGAAAGGGGCAGAGACGCGCTCGTCGCATAACGTCGGCGGAATTGTCTTCATCCGTTCCCGAAGGAACTTCCTCTTTAGTATAATGCTAGGTTGAGACTTCCCGTCGCTTCCCGAGTTGGCTTGGACGCGAGCCACTCTGAACAGGGACCACACTGTCTGTGCTTGCGGGGAGGTTCAGTCCGTTCCTTTGTGAACCCGGCGCTGAAAGGGTACCGCTGCGTATGTGTGAGCAGGTGAGGAGGCTCTGCAAATGTTGTTGTGACTTACTACATTAGATGATTAATCTCTTAGTACCGTCTCATCCAGATTATTTGTAATGCAGTCAAATGATAACTCCACTTGCACAATTCACAAGTGTTTAGTATCACGAAATCAGTATCTTCCACATCAGAACATGACAACACAACCATGTGACTTGAATGCAAGCGGGGTTTTTTCACCGGGTGGTTCCACTGCATGCCCTATATCCTTGAAGGAGATGGTGCTGCAAGCTCGAAATACACCTACTGGTACATGCATTTCTCCAGTTTGTTCAACTGAACAAAGTCTAGCCGATACAGTCACGCAAGAATGACTATATCCAGCATCCCATTGCGACGCAAAGTTGATCTACGGCTGCTGAAAAACCATCGTGACTCACAGAGTTGTGCGCTGCATTACATACCGGCTATCCGTGCCTAGCTTGCACTGCCAGGTAATATGCATGCATACCTGTGCAGTGTGGTCGGTATGAGTAGTCTCAGACTGCGCATATGTGCATACTGAAGTCACGCATGTAGGGTGTGCTGTGTTACAATGTACACGGACAAAGCGTTTGTCACTGCCAAGTGTGATTTTACCCATAATTATATCATGCATCCGGCAATTTTCATACAGTACACTCTACTCCTGATAAAATGGTTGCCATTTGCAGGGGAATTAGTTCTTTACGGGTTTGTTAGAACGGAAATGCATTCGCACCATACAAACAACACGACATCACTAGCATGTGGCCTATGGCTGTATGATTGCACTTGGCAATCATGCGACCCTACAAGAAATGGTTCTTAATGAACGAAAAGTGATCGATACACAGGGTCAATTTTCTATGAGCTCAAACAAGAACATGGACGACAGTTCGCTATGTCACGAATTTTGCTATGTAAATGCACAACTTTGCTATACGTGGAATAGACAGTACTTGCAGCCGCAGGCTATGGCTTTGGCTATCCTGTGCTGTATCCACATCCTTGCCAGAGGCAATGCTTTCGGTTTATACCGCCCTTCCCTTCGACACTGGTTGTTCCCGCTGCAGTTGTTCTGTGCAGGTGTCAAC